TACCCATGCTTCATTTGAAGTACAAAGAAAACTTTTGAACTGGTGATACAAATAGGATGTACATTTGTGTCATAATATGATCATGGATATCTCATCACCAATGCCCCAGTTCCCTCCCACCCTGCAGCCTGCCTCTATGACAAGCACATTTAAAAGTTTGATTGTTACAGTTTGGAACGTATGCTTTCAGATTTGTTGATTTTGTGGTTAATAGTTATATAATACATCTATAACACCTATGTGCCCTTGGCCCCTGCCCTGTTATCTCCTGTCTGCCTCCTTTTAGGTTCTTCCTTTCTCTTCCTCAATTCTACAATACAGACACCAGGTTAGTTTAGGTATCCCCTCTCTGATACCTTGCATTCGCTTGCTGATAATGTGTTTTAGGACTTTTGATCGTTTTTTACTCTTGGAGGCTTGATAATTACTTATTAATTTTATATGCACTTTAAATGCTTTAATAGTTATATTTAGATCAAATTATTTTTTACTATTTTGCTATTTAACTTTAATTATATTTTAACATATGTACTTTGAAAGCACTTATTCAAAAGGATGTTTGTATCATATCAACATTATTCACTGTAGCCAGAACATGGAACTGACATAAATGTTGATCAACAAATGACTAAATAAAGAAATGGTAGTATACAATCTCAATGGAATATTACTCTGACATTATAAATACGGATTCAGGCAGGAGTGACAGTACAGAGGGTAGGGCATTTTGCCTTGATGCATCAAACTGGGTTTTAATTCCTGGCACCACATATGGCCTCCTGAGTCCCTCCAGAAGTGATCTCTGAACTCAGCCAGCAGAAGTCCTAAGGACCACCAGGCATAGCCCTCCCCCCCCAAAAAAAAAGGAGTCATGCCCTTCATGGCAAAAAGGATATATCCTGAGGTGGTAGTTACACTGAATGGTGGGTGCTTAGTCATATACAGAGAGGAATAATAGCCTTGAAATTCTATATTATTAACAACTGATAATTTAAAAAAGGAAACAAAAAACAAAAATCTACACATTAGAGATAACAATCAACAGAATGAAAAGGCAACCGCAGAGAGAAAAGAAGTGCACATCATTTATCTCATAAAAGTTTAATGCCCAGAATATATTAAAATAAACTTTTACAATTCAACAAAATAACTTTTGTGTTTTTGGGTAGGGATGGGAGTAGGAGTTAGGGCCATACCTGTGGTGTTCAGGGGCTATTCCTAGCTCTGTTCAGGAATGACCTCTGGTGGTGCTCAGTACTATATGTGGTGCTGGGTATCTTAAACCTTTGGCAGCATTGCAGGGCAAGCAACTTAATCTCTGTACTATCTTACTGGACTTAACAGAGAAATTTTTTGTTTTTAGGCCAAAGCCAGCAGTGTTTGGGGCTTACTCCTGGTTCTCAGCTCAGGGAACACTCCTGGTGGGGCTTGGGGGACTATGAGGCATGCTGAGGTACAAACCCAGGTTGTCCGTGTGCAAGACAGGCACCCTACCTACTGTACAAAATAACTGTAAATGGGCAAAGAAGACATTACTCAAGATATACAGATGGTCAATAATGGATGGCTATTATAAAATAAGAAAGAAGAAAAAGAACAAGTGTTGGCAAAGATATGGAGAAATAGGAAACAGAGTGCACCATTGGTGGAAACATAAAATGTTACATTTACTATGGTCAACAGTATTGTGATTCTGAAAAGTTAATAATGGGAGCTAAGGAGATAGATTTTGGGATAACATTGGTTTGCCCTTCCTCCCGGGCCACAGGGAGCTTGGGTTTGTTGACTAGCTCCCACATCCTGTCAATTACTTTTGTCTCCTGATCAGACTCTGCTGACTTGTAAATATTGTTTTTCTCTTCTCCTTAATGTCCTCGGCATTGTTAGTTACTTCAGAGCAATTACTTTTTGTATGGACATAGAAAGACAGTTAAAAAGACATGCTTTGGTAACTTGGGAGTTAACTGACTCCAGATAATATTGCCTCCCGGACATCTTCTCTCTTGACTTAAGCCTCAGTTGCCCTTACTTCCTAGATCCCCAAAAGCAGGGTCCCTACGAGGGACTGGATGGACCTAGGACAAGCTGTGAGCTACCCTGGCATCAAAATGGGCCAGGCCAAAGTGCCATAACACTGAAATATAAGTTAAGAGCATGGTCATGGACAAATTCTCTCATTATCCAAAAAGTAATAACTAGATTTGGACCCTGCTAGGGTTATAGGAATGAATAATCCGGCCTGAGCACTGTAGTCTGAATCTGTGGCAAGATGTCCCCAGGAGAGTCACCTTACAAGCCTAAAAGTGTCTATTACTGTATCCATACAGAATGACAAATATTAGGAAGTAGAATTAAGATGTTAATTGGCCTAAGGAGAGGAGAAGTACACCGTGAGTGCTGTTTTGACCTCATGGGCTGCAGGTGGTCAGGAAGGCTTGAAAAACATGTTGATTGCCCTTCTGGGAAGGGGGAGGCGTGGTCTGGGAGGCATGGTTAGAAAGTTGCTGCGAGGTGGTTGAGGTGGTTAAGGTGGTTAAGGTGGTTAAGGTAGTGGTTGCGGAGAGTTGAGGAGTAGAGGCAGAGAGAGACAGAGTTGGTGAGAAAGAGAGTTGAAGAGTGAGAGACAGTTGCTGCAGAGTTGGGGAGACCTGAGAGGGAGAGCGTTGTGGAGCGAGTTAGAGAGAGGGTTGGAGAGAGCTTGGAGAGAGTTGGGGAGAGTTTGGGAGAGACAAGGGATGGGATAAATGGTAACTGATCATCAACCAGCTTGGCCCTTGTTCCTCCTTTGTTGGCCCATGGCAACAGACGTCCTGGGTGGGGAGCGGTTCGAGAGCCATGCGGAGAGCCCACGAACATCCGAACATCCGTTACTGTGTGATCATAGTGTCACCCGAGCTAAAGGTGTTTACACAATAGATCAAAGGGCTGGACTGGGCTAGGCCTCAAGTTCAATCCCCTGTAACACATAACACTTCCAGGTATAGCTCTGGTGGACACCATCACTTATGCATCAGAAATGTAGTTTAGCAGCAGAAATGCATCAGAAATGTAGTTTAGCCTATTTTTTTGCATGTAGCCGTCCAGTGATGCCAACACAATTTATTAAAGAGGCTTTCCTTACTCCACTTCACATTACTTGCACCTTTATCAAAGATTAGATGAGCATATGATTGAGGAGAGATGTCAGTGTATTCAACCCTGTTCCATTGGTCTGCAGTTCTGCCTTTGTTCCAGTACCATGCTGTTTTAATTATTACTGCTTTGTAGTACAGTTTGAAGTTCGGGAGGTTGATTCCTCCCATTTTCTTTTTCCCAAGAATTGCTTTAGCTATTCGTGGGGGCTTATTGTTCCATATAAATTTCAAGAGTGTTTGCTCCATTTCTTTGAAGAATGTCATGGGTATCCTTATAGGGATTGCATTGAATTTATACAATGCTTTCGGTAGTATTGCCATTTTGACAATGTTAAGTCTCCCGACCCATGAGCAGGGGATATCTTTCCATTTCCTCATGTCCTCTTTTATTTCCTGAAGTAGCGTTTTGTAGTTTTTTTTGTACAGGTCCTTTACTTCCTTAGTTAAGCTGATTCCTAGGTACTTGATTTTCTGGGGCACAATTGTGAATGGGATTGTTTTTTTCATGTTGCTTTCTTCTCTCTCACTGTTTGCGTATAGGAAAGCCATGGACTTTTGGGTATTGATTTTATAACCTGCAACTTTACTATACGAGTCTATTGCTAAAATTAATAAGTTGAAATAAGCGATAGCACAGCAGTAGGGCGTTTGCCTTGCACACAGCCATCATGGCTGACCCGAGTTCAATTCCTCTGCCCCTCTCGGAGAGCCCAGCAAGCTACCAAGAGTATCTCTCCTGCACGGCAGAGCCCGGCAAGCTACCGAGAGTATTCGATATGCCAAACACAGTAACAACAAAATCTCCAATGGAGATGTTACTAGGCCCGCTCGAGCAAATCGATGAACAATGGGAGGACAGTGACAATAATGTCTAATGTGATGGTATTTTTAGGCAGAGCTTTGGGAGATGTTTTCGTCATAGGAATAGAGCCCCCAGAATGGAACTTCAGAGAACACCCTAGCTCATTCATGCACATGTGAAGTCATAGCTAAAAGGACATCTATGAACCAGCAAATGGGTGGTTGCTAAACACAAATCTGCCAGAGCTTTGATCTTGAATTTCCTCAGCTCTCAAACTGTGAAAAATAAGTATATGTTGCTTAAAAGCTAGCCAATCTATAAATATTCTGTCATAGCAGCCCCAGTGTACTCAGACAATATTGTATCATATTTACTGATCCCGACTCTGTGCTCAGGGATCACTCCTAGCAGAGCTCATGGTATCATATGTGTTGATGGGGATCGAACCCAGGTTTGTTGCATACAAGACAAGGACTCTAATCATTGTATTATAGCTCTGTCCCCAGAACCCTTCAGATATTTTCTAACTAAATGGTTTCATATCCAACTGCCTTACTGAGTTCATTTGTGTATAACAGTTTGTGTTGATTTCCTTAGGGTTATTTTTTTCTCAGTTACACATTGAGGAGGATAGCATGGGTCACATCCTTCAGTGCTCACATCTATTCTTTGCTCTGTGCTCAAAGGACCATATGTGGTGACTGGGATCCAGATGGCAGCACTGCAAGCAAAGTAAGTGCCTTACCTCCTGTATTCTATCTCTGGCCCTACTTATACATTCTTATCTATTAATAAGTATAGGCTTTTTGTTTTGTTTTGTTTTGTTTTGTTTGGGGGCCATGCCCGCCAATGTGCAAGGGTTACTCCTTGCTCTACACTCAGGAATTATACCTGGAAGTGCAGGGCACCATATGGGATGCCAGGGATGGACCTTGGGTTGGCCATGTGCAAGGCAAGCACCCTACCTCCTGTACTATCTCTCTAGACCAAATAATTACAGATTTAAGCTTCCTGTCACCGCCGCCACAGAGGTTGTAAGCACCAGGCTGCTTGGCTGTCTCAAGATGTGCTACATTGCCTCCTACCTGCTGGCCGCCCTGGGGTACAATGCATCCCCCAGCGCCAAGGACATCAAGAAGATCCTGGGACGATGGCGGACGAAGGTGGACGATGACTGGCTCAACAAGGTCATCAGTGAATTGAGCGGGAAAAACATTGAGGATGTGATCACTCAGGGCATCGGCAAGCTGGCCAGTGTTCCTGCCGGAGGGGCTGTGGACGTGTTGGCCGCCCCCGGAACCACAGCACCTGCAGCTGGCTCTGCCCCCTCATCAGAGGATAAAAAAGACGAGAAGGAGGAGTCTGAGGAGTCAGATAACGACATGGGATTTGGCTTGTTCGATTAGTCACTACCCCAATAAAACCCTTTTCTAGGCCTGAATAACAACAATAATAATAATAATATTTAAAGATTTTAGCTTCTCCATTCCAATTATGTTATTTATTTCTCTTTTCTAATTACAATGCTTGCTACTTCTAATAGAGTAATAAATTGTAATGGAGAGAGTAGACTCCCCTACCTGATTTTATCATATAAGTATCACTAATATCTCCTGATTAGAAGGGCTATTTGATCTGGATATATGTATATGCATAAATATATCAAGAAATAAAAGTTATAGTCTTCTTATATTGAACTTTTATAAATAATAGTTGTTGTAGTAGTCTGAAGAAATAGTACAGTGAGTAAGGTACTTGCCTTGCACGTACCTGATTCAGGTTCAATCCCCAGCATCCCATATGGACCCCAGAGTACCTACAGGAGTAATTCCTTAGTGTCTAACCAGGCATAGTCCTTGACAAATGCTAGATGTGACCAAACACTTAAAGAAAACTAAAACAGGCAGCATACAGCCGGAAGAGAAGGGCCACATGGAGGGCGGGACCCACAGCTCCCGGAGAAAAAGAAAAAAACAGGTTCCAAAAAGAGCCGAGATCATCGGGAAGTCCCAGATGGGGTAGATACCGCATCCCGCCTCCCCCAGATGGAACCCCGGTGACCAGAAGCCTCTACAAGCACAGCTCGAGTATGCGGGAACTAGGACTTTTTCTCAAATCTGCCGGGACTACAGCTCCCAGGTAACCTCTGATTCCGGAAGTCACGCCCACAGCCCGCCCCCCAGCGCCATCTTTACAGCATACAGTCGGAAGAGAAGGGCCACATGGAGGGCGGGACCCACAGCTCCCGGAGAAAAAGAAAAAGGTTCCAAAAAGAGCCTAGATCATCGGGAAGTCCCAGATGGGGTAGGTACCGCATCCCGGCTACCCCAGATGGAACCCCGGTGACCAGAAGCCTCTACAAGCACAGCTCGAGTATGCGGGAACTAGGACTTTTCCTTAAAACAGCACGGCTGCTTACACGGCCGCGCGACATCTCTCTATATACAAAGTGATCAATGGGAAGTAAACTACCTAACGTTTCTCCCTGAAAATCAGAGTTAAGTTTGGAGCACGGCCACAGCCCCAGAAACACAAGGACTTAATGCAGAACCCAGCAGCTTGGAGCAGAAAAGTGAAAGGACTATGCGTTAATCCAGGCCATCATGTCTGCCCGGAGGGAAAAGGGTGTTGCCCCATTCGCCCTCTCTTCTCTGGAAAGAAGGATGGCGGCCGCATGGGAGCCTTGTGGACAGCAGGTATGAGCCGGGGGTGTGGGGGCGACTAAAACCTCATGGGAAGGGGGGCGTTCCGGTCCGTCCTTCACGCCCTACCGAGGTCACCAGTTGCCCCCCACGAGCGGCTCTCCAGCACGGCCACAGCCCCAGAAGCACAAGGGCTTAATGCAGAACCCAGCAGCTTGGAGCAGAAAAGTGAACGGACTATGCATTGATCCAGGCCATCAAGTCTGCCGGAGGGGAAAGGGTGTTGCCCCATTCGCCCTCTCCTCTCTGGAAAGAAAGATGGCGGCCACATGGGAGCCTTGTGGACAGCAGGTATGAGCCGGGAGTGTGGGGGCGACTAAAACCTCATGGAAGGGGGGCGTTTCGGTCCGCCCTTCATGCCCTACCAAGGCCACCAGTTGCCCCCACGAGCGGCTCTCCAGCACGGCCACAGCCCCAGAAGCACAATGACCTAATGCAGAACCCAGCAGCTTGGAGCAGAAAAGTGAAAGGACTATGCGTTAATCCAGGCAATCATTTCTGCCCAGAGGGGAAAGGGTGTTGCTCCCTTCCGCCCTCCTCCCTCTGGAAAGAAAGATGGCGGCCACATGGGAGCCTTGTGGACAGCAGGTATGAGCCGGGGGTGTGGGGGCGACTAAAACCTCATGGGAAGGGGGGCGTTCTGGTCCGTCCTTCACGCCCTACCGAGGTCACCAGTTGCCCCCCGCGAGCGGCTCTCCAGCACGGCCACGGCCCCAGAAGCACAAGGACTTAATGCAGAACCCAGCAGCTTGGAGCAAAAAAGTGAACGGACTATGCATTGATCCAGGCCATCAAGTCTGCCGGAGGGGAAAGGGTGTTGCCCCATTCGCCCTCTCCTCTCTGGAAAGAAAGATGGCGGCCACATGGGAGCCTTGTGGACAGCAGGTATGAGCCGGGAGTGTGGGGGCGACTAAAGCCTCATGGGAAGGGGGGCGTTCCGGTCCGTCCTTCACGCCCTACCGAGGCCACCGGTTGCCCCCCGCGAGCGGCTCTCCAGCACGGCCAGGACTCCAGAACACAGAAACCAATTTCTTCTATCTGACTTTCAGTAGAAATACTTCCAGGGTCAATAGGTAAAAGAGCAGAAATCCAAAACCAACATTTAATTCTTGAACCCAGCCGTAGAAAGCAAATCACTTCACAATGCTTTTTCAACATGTCTGATTTGGGGGGGGGGGTAAACTCTAAATAATAGTGGTGAATCTTTTATTGAAACAATGAATCTAATCAAAGCAGATAGAGTGTTAACTAGAATTCATCTGCCTCACAGGGACGGGGAGGGGTGGGGGGTGGGGTTTTATTGGGGTTCTTCATGGTAAAAAATAAGTATTGGTAAAGGGAAATGTGTTTGATATTTGCATGACTGAGACATAAACCTGAAAGCTTTGTAACCTTTCCCACAGTGATTCAATAAATAAATTAAAAAAAAAAAAGAAAAGAAAAAAATTAATACCTTATCTGGGGGCTGGAGCAATAGCACAGCAGGTAGGGCGTTTGCCTTGCAAGTGGCCGACCCGGGTTCGATTCCCAGCATCCCATATGGTCCCCTGAGCACCGCCAGGAGTAATTCGTGAGTGCAGAGCTAGGAGCAACCCCTGTGCATGGCCGGGTGTGACCCCCCTAAAAAAATTACCAACTTATCATTGACTTAAAATTTTGTGAAATCTGCTTTCTTCCCTCTGGAAAGAAAGATGGCAGCCGCTTCGGAGCTTTATGGAAAGCCAGGCATGAGCCGGGCATGATGGGGTGACTGAAACCTCATGGGAAGAGGGGTGTTCCCGGCTCGTCCTTCATGCCCTACCGAGGTCAGGAGTTGCCCCCCACGAGCGGCTCTCCAGCACGGCCATGGCTCCAAAACACAGAAACAAATCTCATAATTATCTGACTCTCAGCAGAATTATTTCCAGGCTTAATAAGTAAAATGCCAGAAATCCAAAATCTACTACTGTGGCCGCGCGACATCATTTGATTCTTGTGACCAGCTGTAGAAAACAAATTATTTCACAATGCCTTTTCAGCATGTCTGATTTGGGGGTAAAGGGAAAGGTAAAGGTAAAGGCCCTTCCATTGTTCATCGATTTGCTTGAGTGGGCCCAGTAACGTCTCCATTGGAGATTTTGTTGTTACTGTGTTTGGCATATCGAATACATCACGGGTGGATACTTTCGGTAGCTTGCCGGGCTCTCCGAGAGGGGCGGAGAAATCGAACTTGGGTCAGCCATGTTGGCTGCGTGCAAGGCAAACGCCCTACCGCTGTGCTATCGCTCCAGATATCTGGATTTGGGGGTGTAAACTCTAAATAATAAGGGTGCATCTTTTGTCAAAACAATGAATCTAATCAAAGAAGATAGAGTGTTAACTAGAATTCATCTGCCTCACAGGCATTGGGAGGGTTGGGAGGGGGGGTTTATTGGGGTTCTTCGTGGTGAAAAATAAGTATTGGTAAAGGGAAATGTGTTTGATATTTGCATGACCGAGACTTAAACCTGAAAGCTTTGTAACTTTTCCCACAGTGATTCAATAAATAAATAAAAATAAAATGAAATAAAATTTTGTGAAATCTCAAGAGTTTAGCTTTATTCATCTATAATGTATAGGGTACACCACCTACACATGGAAAAAAAGTCCTAATATGTAGGGTATAAAGAAACATAAGGGGCTAACAAATGGCCAAAGGCATCAGGACTGCAAATTTTGTCCATACAGCTGACATTACCTAGAGGGAAGGAGTTTGGAGGGGCCCTTGAAATGCGGCTGGAGGAAAAAGGGCACTCTGATGATGGGTTTGTTGTTGAAACAATATACTTATGAAGACAAACATAATTGACAGTATTTTAAGTCTGGGTATCATAATAAAACTGGTAAAAAATAAAAAGGTAACATAGTTTTGTTTTGTTGTTTTGGGCCACACCCAGTGGTTCTCAGTCATTATTCCTAACTTTGTGCTCAGGGCTCCTCCTGGCATTGCTCAGAGACCACATGCTAATTCAGTCCTGTTTGGGTAAGAGTATACTCCAAGACTGCTTCTTATTCATTGAGATACTTATTTCTAGTACCTACTTAGTTAACAGTATCTCTTAAGAATCCTAGAAAAATAAATGTGAGATTATGAAATGCATGACTTTTAACTGGCTTACTTAGTTGCCTTGTTAAGTTTTTTTTTAAATTTTTATTAGTGAAACACCATGAGGTACAGTTGTAGACTTACAAATTTTTGTGCTTGGGTTTCAGTTATACAATGATCAAATATCCATCCCTCCACCAGTGCCCATTCTCTACCACCACTGATCCCAGTATCCCTCCCACCCCCCCATACCCCCCTACCTCTCTGGCAGGGCATTCCCTTTTGTTAGCCTTGATAAGTTTTTCATTGTAACAATTATTTTGATTTTGGAGCCACACCTGGTGGCACTCAGAGCTCACTCCTCAAGTTGTTCACGACACTATATGTGGTACCAGGATTCAAACCAAGATCAGCAGCATGTAAGGAAAACACTTTATCCTCTGAACTATCTCTGTGGTCTTCATTCTAACACTATTATATGTAGAGAAAGGAATAAGATAGTGTGAAGTAAATTGGGACCTAATCCAAGGGGGCATGGTGGAATTTTTGCAAGACCCTCTTCTAAACCAAAGAAAGAATATATTAAAAGGCTTGATAACACAGGCTAACATGGTGAGTGCTTAATCAAGTAATCTAATGTCTATTCCCTTCAAATGTATCCAGTCATGGGTAAATTGCCAGGAATGGAAGTCCTGTGTATAACAACAATCCATGGAAAAGTCAGAAGACTGTGCTTCTGCTCTCATCTACTTAAGCATTTTCCTAAGGATCCCAACACTGCTTGGGCCTACTGTCCTTTTCAGATATTAAAGGCTCTCCCAGATAAGATATCTAATTGCATTTTAATAGGGTATGTGGATTATTGATACTATAGAGGAATTGGCATGTATGCTTCTTAATAAAACAGTGATTCATTTAAAAAATTTAAAAAATTACCACAGAAAAAATTTTTTTAAAAATTCAAGGATATTTCTAAAAGAAAAAAAAATCAGTTCTTGAGACACAGTTTGTAAATGTATAAAGCCTTTCTGAATTGTGAAATTCAAATTCTGATACTGAAAGTTACACAAAAGTGGAGCCCATACAGAGCTGTTCAGTTAAAGAATTACCCCAAGTCACGGTTTGGCCCTAATACATCTAACTTCCCACTCCACTTACAGGTGCCTTGTTTACTTAAGTGCAAAATGCCTACACAATGCAGCACCAACCAGGCTTGAGTTCTCTTCTCTGTAAGACCTTTCCAGGACAGAAGAATGATCACATTCCTGACTTATAGCCCTCTACTGGAATGTCTTGCCTCTGGGCTATAATCCATCACCCTCCCATGAATCTCAAGGTCCACCAAGGGCCATGGTACTACATGCATGTTTAGCATTCCAGGAGAGCTTTGTGAGTTATGAAGCATTTCAATCAGCCTAATCCACAGAGTGGAGATAAATCACAAGCAACAGGGATTTACTGATCATTTATTTCTCTGTTAGAGTAGAGCAAGGGTTAAATAAAGGGTTGCCAGTTACTGCAAGTGGAACTTTCTTCTTAGACAATGGAGAGAAGCAGAAGGATAGTTTTCTTTTAATATTTCGCAGGGAAAACAATAAGCAAATAAGTTCCCTCAGGGTGATGCAAACCATTTAATTTCATCTGTATTTCCCCATCCTCTCTGGAACTGGTGCTGAGAGCGGAGACAGTCAATCAGTTGATCAGTCATCAGCACTGTCATCTGCATTGCCAGAGAGGTCGAGAGCAGACATCATGGAATCAGACAGCTTGCTGGCGAGTTTATCTACAGATGGAGAAACAGGTAGTCATCTAGTGGCTGGCTTGTCAACAGAAAGCCTGCAGGAGCTGGCTGACATCACTGGTTCACTCCATACTGACTCATACAAACCCCAACACTAAAAACAACTGATGGGTTATTGGCAGACATTCTCTGTGAAATGATGACTTCAACAGAGTTGATCTCAGTATCAAACTTACTGGGCTCCAAGTATTTTTGTCACTTCCTAGTATTAAAAAATACAATTTTCTTTTACTATATGCAACTTGATAACATTACCCTCAAAGTTTTCATAGCAAAAAGACAGCATAGCCCTAAAGGCTTTGGATCTGGAGGCAGCCACATCCTACCAATTTCAGGACTTCCTTGATACATCGCCTCTTCCAAAAGACTTTCTCTGATCACCCTAACCTCCCTACCATATCCAGGCTTCTCGAGGATTAATGATTGTGCTTTCCATGTCTTCACAGTAATCAGTCTGTATTGCCAATAGCTATTTCTCATTTTTTCCCCACAGGAGTGCAAGGGAAATTCAACCTTGGATTATCAGGACTCAGTATAGGGTCAGAATAAGATAAGTGGCTTTATACACCACCTAATTCAAAGAACAAGTCTTCATGTCAAGTTTTTCATTTGATCTGCATAAAATACTAGTTGTTAGTGTGTTGCAGCATTTCTCAGACTCAGCTGCTTCACTCAACAAATGAAAAAGACTTTTGCAATGAATTAATGAAGACCAGTATACCATGAACACCTAAATAAGCAAAAAATTGTGAGCCAGACAACCATTAACATGAGGAAGTTTTGGGTGCTAGTCTCCTATTTTGTTATTTTATGTTACCCAGATGAATGCAATCTTTCTATAACTGTCCCTCTCTTTCTGACTCATTTCGCTTAGCATGATACTTTCCATGTAGTACCACTTGTATGTAAATTTCATGACTTCATCCTTTCTAACAGTTACATGGTACTCCATTGTGCAGATGTACCAAAGTTTCTTTTTAATTTTTATTAGTGAAACACCATGAGGTACAGTTGTAGACTTACAAATTTTTGTGCTTGGGTTTCAATTATACAATGATCAAGTACCCATTCCTCCACCAGTGCCCATTTTCCACCACCACAGATCCCAGTATCCCTCCCAACCCCCATCCCCCCACCCCACCCTACCTCTGTGGCAGGGCATTCTCTTTTGTTCTCTCTCTCCTTTTGGATGTTGTGGTTTGCAAAAGAGGCATTGAGTGGCAATCATGTTTGGTCTATAGTCTATTTCAGCATGCTTCTCCCATACTGGGAGGATCCTCTCAATGCCCTTTATTTGGTGATCCCTTCTCTATCTGAGCTCCCTTTTCCCCTAGCACGTGTGGCTGGCCTCCAAGCCATGGAGCAAACCTCCTGGTACTAATCTCGGCCACTTTTGGGTATTAGTCTCCCATTTTGTTACTTTATGTTCCCCAGATGAATGCAATCTTTCTATGTCTATCCCTCTCTTTCTGACTCATTTCGCTTAACATGATACTTTCCATGTAGTATCACTTGTATGTAAATTTCATGACTTCATCTTTTCTAACAGCTACATAGTACTCCATTGTGTAGATGTACCAAAGATTCTTTAACCAGTCATCTAATCTCAGGCACTCAGGTTTTTTCCAGATTCTAGCAATTGTAAAGAGTGCTACAATGAACAAATAAGTGCAGATGTCACTTCAACTATACTTTTTTGCCTCTCTGGAATATGTTCCCAGGAGTGGTATTGCTGGTCAAATGGGAGCTCAATTTCTAATTTTTTGAGAATCATCCATATTGTTTTCCAAAAGGGCTGAACCATTCGGCATATAGGAGACTAACACCCAAGAATAGCCGAGATAGGTACCAGGAGGTTTACTCCATGGCTTGGAGGCCAGCCACACACGCTAGGGGAAAAAGTAGCTCAGATAGAGAAGGGAGCACCAAATAAAGGGTGTTGGGAGGATCCGCCCAAGATGGGAGAAGCATGCTGAAAGTAGACTATAGACGGAATATGACTGCCACTCAATGCCTCTTTTGCAAACCACAGCACCCAAAGGAGAAAGAGAACAAAAGGGAATGCCCTGCCACAGAGGCAGGGTGGGATGTGGGGGGATGGGGGTGGGAGGGATACTGGGATCAGTGGTGGTGGAAAATGGGCACTGGTGGAGGTATGGGTACTCGATCACTGTATAACTGAAACCCAAGCACAAAAATTTGTAAGTCTACAACTGTACCTCGTGGTGTTTCACTAATAAAAAATTTTTTAAAACAAGGAAGTTTTACATATATAAGGTCCAGGATTTAATCTTGGCACCATCAAAAAATTTTAAGCTAAAAAAAATTAATGATGTGATTTTATAAACTGATATGAAAATGTTCCTAGTGTATATTAAATAAAAAAATAATGTGGACAAGACAAGCATTTGTATTTAAAAACTGACAAAATGTATAGATATTTGCCGGTGTACTTCTCAGGTATGAGAAGAAATTAATCATTTGCCTGAAAGCAGGCCTGGATGACTACAGAATTGGAAGGAAAGAAACATTTTATGTTGTATCAATCTGTACCTTTTGGAATACTGATAAAGTAAAGATTGCATACAACCTGTAAATTTCCTAATACTAAATGAACAGCTATTTGATATACAAGAACATGGTAGCTCACCAAGTTTGTTCCCCAGAGGATCAGCATCAGATGAGAACCGGTTAAAAAGAAAAAAATTCTTACAGCTCACAAGTAGCCCACAGTCACTGAGAAATTCTGAGGTTAGGTTCAAAAGTCTGTGTTTTAACAAGTCCTCTGAGATATTCTAAAATACTATTCTAACCCATCCCTAATCGCTAACCTTGGTCTGGAGGATACATGGAGATACTCATTTAGGAAGCACTAAACAAGATCCAACGTAGGCCCAAGATACCATTTTGAAGCATAGGGTTGTAGGTCCCCACCTGAACGCTTCTGCATCTTCTTCTTATTCTTCAAAGCAGATGCCAGGGCCTGGCCCTGCTGCAGGGGATCTGTATCCATGATCCTCTGCAGCACTGGGCGGCGATCCACTGTGCAGATATCCACTGTGTCATTATTCCCAGGGTAGTAGTCCACATTGCGCTTAGGCCACCCCTTCTGATGATTTGAACTGGTACAATATCCAGTGAGCTCTCCAATCTGGATAGAAAGGAAACTGAGCTACCTCCAAAGGAGGCATCATAGGAGGAAAGAGCAGGCTTAGGTAAGAACAGAGTCTGAAGACAGGCAGAATGAAATTTCAAATCTGGCTCTTCCATAGACTAGCAAATAATTAACTTCTTAGCTTCAGTTTATTTACCTCTCAAATGGGATGAATAGGTAGACTTGCATAGGTTTTATAATAAAATAAAAGCGTAGGGCAGGGGTACACATGGCAAACCTGAATTCGATCTCTGGTAATACAAATGGTTCCCTGAGCCTGCCAGAAATAATCCCTGAGCACCACTGAGAATGAACAGAAAACAAAAAATTAAGATGAAAACACAGATACTACAGTCCTCACTCAAGTGATCTTTCAGTTCTTACTGAATTTATCATATACATTTAGACACCTACTCTATGCCCAGGTTTTATGTAAAAAATACTGGGAAAATAAATCAGATGCAGTCTTATTTCATGAAGGATTCAAGCAAGAAGATACAATCCAACCATCAAGAAGTCAGAATGTGGGAAGTACCTGCCAAAGAGATGCAATGTAGGTGACAGCAGTTTAGAGTATGTTGGTTAACATACATTTATTGACAGAGGGTTTATTCTGACTTAACAGCAAAAAAAGTACAGAGACTACCTCAATAGTAAAAGGGTATCTATCTGGCTGGGACAGAAAATGTGTAGGGAATAAAAGTTTATACTGGCAGAAAGCTCACTGTGTGCCAGGTACCATTCTGAGCACACACACACATATTCACAATATACATACCTAAATTTTATTGTCTAGGAGTTACTACTAGAGTTAAAAAAATGGAGTAACCCTGCACACGGTCCCTAACTTAAAGTCTAAAACTTGTGATACGGAGTAGAAAACCAGAATATGGTCTAGAGAGACAGTGCATAGGTTAAAGCACATGCCTTGCATGCAGCCAACAGTCCCGGTTCTCTACCAAGCACCACCAGGAGTGTTGCTGAGCAGAGACAGGTATAGCTCCAAGCACCGCTGGGTATGACCCAAAACAATCTTCACCTGCCCAAAAAATAGGACAAATGTCAGGAGAAAGAGAACTCAAAGCTTACACTAAGGTTATAGGAAAAACAGCATAGAGAGACTCCATAATCTTCTAGAGAGGTATGGGAGAAAAAAGGTCAGAGAATTTGGTAGCTGACTTTTGAGAGTCCAGACAATATTTAAGGGGAAGAGTCAGATATCTAAATTGATTGTTTAAACAACAGGGTGGTTAGACAAGAACACGAGTTCTCTAAGTCAGAGTCAAGGCTGAGAAAGCTGCTTCGAAGAAAACACCTCTTCCTTGGACCTGCCACAGTTTTGTCAAGGAACAAAGGAACCCACAGTGAAACAACCAACATTTATCCTCCTTGACAATTACAGGAAGCCCTCACAGGAGTCAGGCAGAAGGATCCGACCAAATCACAGAATTCTAGATAAAGGAAGTGGTTGCCATCAAAAATGGGAACAAGTACCTTATACATGTTGGTTTTATTTTCTGCACCACCTGCCAGAGGCGAATGGAGCCACTTGATATCCATTTCGAGTGGGTCAATGTCATCCAACAGTTCATCAGACTCTCCAGTGGCTAAGCCTTTAATACAACCAATACCAAGGTTAGAGTACAGACTCCTCCGTGCTGCCAATCCCCTTGGTCAAGAACCAGTAGAGGGAATGGAGCAATAGCACAGCGGGTAGGGCATTTGCCTTGCACGTGGCCGACCCGGGTTCGATTTCCAGCATTTTATATGGTCCCCCAAGCACCGCCAGGAGTAATTCCTGAGTGCATAGCCAGGAGTAACCCCTGAGCATCGCTGGGTGTGACCCAAAAAGAAAAAAAAAAGAAGCAGTGGAAAGGATAAGTAAATACTACTCAGGAAAGACCCTAAAGAGTCAGAAGGAAGGGCTCTTTGATTACTGCTGAGACAGTCACAGAAAGGATAAACAGCATGGGTTTTATATACAGAAAGGCACTCTGGAAAAGGGCCTCTTGGAGTACTCCTCATCTGCAAAATGAGAATGCCACAGACCTATGACTGTGTTTCTATGAGTCACACAGATGTCGATACTGCACTGGCTTGGGATACTAACCTAAAATGGCAAGACTCTGGGAGTCTCCACTCCAACTCTCAAGTCTCAAACTCAAGTCTCTTGTCTGGAGATGGGCTCCGCTGCAAACCACAAATGAGCCCTTTGCCAATTGTATGCCCATAATACTTTCTTCTCTGCTTTTAAACTTTGCCCTGATCCCCTTCCCTAAACCTCTAATTCCATTTACTCCTCAAAATTTAGGGCCAACTCCCCTAAAAAAACATTTACCGGTGGTATCTCCCTCACCCTACTCTCAAGTTCCCAGAACTTTTTTTTTCTGCCAGAGGCATTCTCAAATATGGAGTCCCCTATTGTCCTCACAAAAACCAGAATCAAACATCATCATAAAAATATGGGCTTGAATTCCTTCCCAACTACCCACTTCATAAAATTCAGAATAGGGCTGTCTTTCCCCAAGACACGTGCGGAATACACCTGAAAGCAGGCAGGTATTGTCCTCATCTGTAATCCTATGATAGTAAAAGGACTCAGAGAAGGAAAGCTATAGGCCCTCAAGAGAAATAAAGGAATTAGAAGTCAGTAACAAGTTTTCTTCACTATCCCATACAGTTTACAAACTAGCTCAGAGAGTACCAAGACAATACAGGCCTTTCTTGAATAGCATAAAGGAAAAAGAAGCAATAAGCCACAGATAGAAACAGAAATGTCCTACTAAAGTTTTTGAAAGTCACATCTCAGTATCCCAAAAAACAATCATCTTAATACTCGCTAATATTTATCAAGCATGTACTATATATGCTAAATACTATTTTAAGTATTTTTACTTATTAAATAATAAAAGTTAATGTCTAGACATGCAAAAGCCTAGAGGCAATATGAAGGAGTTTTTGTTAGGAATGTCTCAGTCCACTCCAAATCCCAAAAAGTGGAAACCTTGCATTTCCTGAGCTACTCACCATGCAACCAATATTTTGCCATTGCTTTCTATATACAAAGAGCCCACAACTATACACCATGACTCAGGTTAGGGTTTTCCATCTTGAGGGAAAGATAATAAGCTTAGGGCTTGTTAAATAATTTTCCCAGAGCAATAATAGTGCCAAACATGGGAAGTCAAACATGGAAGCTGTTTTTGATCTGTGTGGTTCTACAAGGACTAAGCAAACTGGTCCTCTTGTACCACTTACATTCCATGGTGTCTTCATTGGCCTGTTCCGTATCCTCAATGTCGAAGACCTCAGTCATCTCCTTAACAATCTCAGCACTGAGATGGGAGGGCAGAGTGTGGGTGGCAGGTGGAGGTGTGTAGAAGCTGATCTTCCCACTGGGAGATGGGGGAAATTGGTGGTGATGTTATTAAGAGATCAAATGACCAAAGAGAGGATCAGTTCCTGAGTCATAAACAGCCAGACCAAGGAGATGGCTCAAAGGGCTGGAATGCATATGAGGAACCAGGTTCAATCTGTTGCACTGTATAGTTCCCCCCAGCACTACCAGGAGCGACCCCCAAGCATCAAACAATCAATAGCCCCTAAATATTTCCTGCTATTGCCGCATCCTCCAACCCCACATAAAAAAGCAGAAGGAAGGGAGGGAGGGAGAGGGGGAGGGAGGGAGGGAGGGAGGGAGGGAGGGAGGGAGGGAAGGAGGGAGGGAAGGAGGGAAGAAAGGAGCAGGGGAAGAGGAGGGGAGAAGAGGGGAGAGGAGGGGAGGGAAAGAGAGGAGAAGAAGGGAGGGGAGAGGAGAGAAGAGGAGAGGTACAGAGTAAGGACAAGAAAACCCAGACAGTGGCTTGTAAATAAGTTGTTAAGTTGCTAGATAATCACAGCATAGATTTTCAAGCAGAATATGACCTCTTGCCTTCACCTTTTTCTACCCTGGGACCCAAGAAATCAGGCTGTTCTGCCACGCAAACATAGATTGTGGAACCTGACTCTCTTTGTGGAGCCTGACTCCCAGCAGGCCTCACCTCACCCAGTCAGCCAAGACAGCTTTGGCTGCCTGCTCCAAACTGTATATGCCTCCCTTCTTCTTCTTCCCCAAGCGGTGGGCCACTGCAGTCAGAAAGTGCTGTGTGGTCTGGAACCCAGAGATGCCATAGTAGTTGGAAATCTAGTGACAGGAGGAAGAAAAACATAATTAGGAATGATGAAGTACCCATGAGACAGGGTAGGTAGCAAGAGTCTGTGTACCTCCAATGGAGTACTATGTAGCTCTTAGAAAAGATGAAGTCATGAACTTTACATACAAGTGGTACAATATGGAAAGTATCATGCTAAGTGAAATGAGTCAGAAAGAGAGGGATAGACATAGAAAGATTGCATTCATCTGGGGGATATAAAGTAACAAAATATGAGATTAATACCCAAGAATAGCTGAGATCAGCACCAGGAGAATTACTCCATAACTTAGAGGCCAGCCGGGTATTCTAGGGGAAAGGACAATTCAGATAGAAAGGGCAACACCAAGTGGAGGGTGTTTGGAGGATCCTCCCAGGAGGGGAGATGCAGGTTGAAAGTAGACTGGACTGAACATGTTCACCACTCAATGCCTCTTTTGCTGATCACAACACCCAAAAGGAGAGAGAGAACAAGGGGGAATGCCCTGCCACAGTGGCAGGGGGGGATGGAGGGGGAGGGATATTATCCTGGTGGTGGAAAATGGACACTGTTGGAGGGATGGGTATTTGATCGTGGTATGACCGAGATCCAAGCACAAAAATTTGTAAATCTACAACTGTACCTCATGGTGTTTCACTAATAAAAAAAAAAAAGAGTCTGTGTACCTCATCCAGGTTGCAGCGCTGCAAGATGGTCTCTACTGGGGTCACAGGGTCTGCAAGCTTCTGCACTTGGATGCAATTGCGCAGGATGGTGCCCACCTCTGAACTCGGTCCTGGAACAATGCCTGGGGCATCTAGTAGCCTGATGAACTTGTCCAGGTATACTTCCTGCATAAACCTGAGGTGGGAGGGAAGAGAAAGTACAGAGGGAGCCCATAGGCCCAAATGTGTCTAGCATCCTTTTGGCCTAGCACACAACTGAGAGTAGAAGTCAGGAATATATAGTGTACAGACAAAGGTGGAGATGTGGGGCTAGGGTCTCTAGGTCTATAGACCTGAGAGGCTACAGTCTAGCCTCTGTGATTACAGTCTGAGATGCAGCACTCTGGGCCAGTTTCTTATTCTGAGTCTCAACTGCTTTGTCAGCTTATTTGTAGCCCAGCCCTACATGGGAGTTAGGAAGCTTTAAGGAGTGAACAGGGGAAGGAAGCATCCAGCCTGGGACCTGGCCCACTTCTAGGGGAGGCCAGGTAAACATGGGCTGTAACTGAGACCTCTGTGCCCAGAGAAGAATCAAAGAATGGTTGAAAGGAACCAAAGGAACGGAGCCTAGAGGTGCGGATTTATGGGTATAGTAGGGTCAAGCTGTGGAGTTAGGGAACAGGCAGGTACTTACTTGGTAACCCCAGGAACAGCTCCCACGCTGCATGCACGACTGCGTTTCAAACTATTGATCAGGCTGCTCTTCCCAACATTGGGAAGGCCTACAAGGAAGCAAAAGGCATTTCAGGGCAGCAGAGGTCCTCAAGAACATTTGTCAATGTATAGGAATGGTTCTGGGATCCATATGGGAAGGGAGGTCAAGGCAGTGGTAGTGACCAGGCCAGAAACCCAAAACAGAGTCTGTCTCCTGGTCTTGGCCTCCCACACCAGGCACTGACTGAGCCCTTACATGTACTTTCTACCCCACTCTCCTTTTTCACTTGTAAGCAATCAGGGTAGATGTGTTCCTCTTTTTAGATGTAACATTCACCTCCCATCTACAAGTAGTTTAGGAAAGGTTCTCAGTGTAAGAACTCTGTGACAAAATCCAATAGCAGGTAGACATAAGGAAGTGCCCATTACACAAAAACCTGTTTTTCTCAGAGTATAATTCCCTTAGCAGAGAAGGGACTCATCTCTGAGCAGCTGTTGGCCTGGTGTGTTTTTTTTTTTGTTTGGGCAATTGCCAAGAATCTCTTGGCCTATGGCTGTATTTGTGGACTTCTCAAACCTCACGAAGCCTCTTATTCTCATTCTCACCATTATTCTTTCAACCGCTAAAATTTACCCATGAACTGCTATCACAAATGTTTGTGCTATGTGTATAACTTGTGAGTGGAAACTATACATCTTTCTATGTGTATCTCTGATCTTTTGGTTCTCCTTCTGCTAAAAGTCACGCTATTCATTCCATTTGATTCTCTCACACTCAGTCCTTTGCTCCTCATACTATTCTTGGTGCCTCCCTACACTTAATCACTCTTGCCCTCTAAATTTGTCTAAAGGTCTCTCATTCTGCACTGTCCTTTCTCCCTAATTCTGTCCACCTCAACTGTTCTGCTTCTCTAGATTATCCTCTCTATGCCTGTACCTCCTCTTTCTCTCTCCTCTCTCCCTCCAATCTCTTTCCTTCTTTCTGTCTCTATCTCTCCCCTTCTTCCTCCCCTTACCCTGTCCCTCTTTATATAATTCAGAGTCTCATTTTTTTCTTTCCATCTGTGTCCCCCTAACCCTCTTTCTTTGTATCTCCATTTCTCCTTCTACATGTGTGTCTCAACACAGCCACATATGTGTATTTGGTTCTTTCTGTGGTTCTGTATGAGGATGAAGTGAATCTGAGCACATTTTTATCTCACTGTGGCTAGATTTACTTAGGAGAAGCAAAGATGGGGTGTGTGGGAATGGTTTGGTCTGCATGTGTTTTGCCTTGGAGACTCCTGTATATGCATTCCCTGGATCTAGACAGGACTTTACATGTGCACATAAATACATGTCTATAGATCTGTAAGTTTCTGTATCTCTATATCTCATTCCTGCCTGTTTCTATAACCCTGTCTCTCTGGAATGTATGTTTGTTTATATTTTTCCTTTGTTCTTTGGGTATGTACACCTATCTGCATACATATCTAGAGGCATCTCTAGCCCTGTAATGAATCTCTCTGAAAATTTCTGTGAACTATGTCTATCTCTAGGTCTCTTTTGATGATATCTCCCTCACTCCACATACCTCTATTACCTTCCCTTTCTACTCCTCACCATACCATTTGGCATTCCAGTTCCTTTTCTATACATATACAGTATGTACATCTGTCCTTTCTCTTAGTATTGCACCTTCTCTTCAACATCTTCCTCCTATGACTTCACTTTTTTTCTCTCATGTTCTAATTCTGCCATTCCCAAATCCTCTATTCCTTCTGTGCTGGTCTTCTCACAGTGCTCTGGGATGTAGATAGGCCCAGCTTTGAGCCTCTTTTCTGTCTTGTCTTCCCCAGGAAAACTCCCTATATCCTTTTCCCCTTCTCTGGATTTCAGTGTTCTTAACTCTGAAAGAAAGTTACTCCTCCCTCCTATAACAAAATGAGATGGCTTCGACTTCAAGGCCAGTCCCAAGCATTTGATCCATAGTTCTAATACTCAAAACACAGGGCAATTCTGGTACTCAACATGCCCACCTAGTCAGATAACAAGTCACAAACCTTTCCTGAAGGACTCCTCTCTGCCCCTCAAAGGAAACATAAGGTTCAAAGGATCCTTTCCCTTAATGAAGCTGCTGCTCGATGAAGGAACCTGGGTCCCATGACCTCCCTCACAGGTCTTACCAACAACACCCACACGGATATGGGTGCGCACTTCCCCAAGACGGCAATAGTTCCCCAGGACTCTCATGAGATTTTCAGCTCCAAAGCAAGCTTTGCTTTTCAGCAGTGACTCAGAGGCCTGCTCCACAGGTACACTGCAACGATTCTGAAAAATAAAGGGCATCACACAAAAGGCATCAAGTAGGAGAGGTGGTCTGAGTCCAGCTTTCAAACTTTCAAGAAAACTTTCAGGGCTTTCCTGTGATCATCAATACCTCAACCTAAACTTCTATTCCCTGATCCCCTCAAAAACCCACACTGCCTTTGCATCTCCAGTCCTCTTTGTCACTCCTACTAGCAACACATCCCCTACCTTCACTGGAAGGAAGAGGATGCCATTCTAGCCTCCACAGAGATTGTTGAGTATTGTCTCTGCCTTTCATGGTATGTACCAGTCAATTCTTATTTCCCTTTGCTCGACTTTGGTGTCCACATATGCACACTGGAGACATAGAACATTTCTACCAGTGGAAGGACTAGATGTGTCTGGCCCTGAGCCTTCGTTCTCTTGATTCCTCATGCCCATCCTACTATTCCTCTTACCTTACCCACCAACACAATGCAAATAGTATAGGACTTAAATATTTAACAATAAGAATCAGAGTAGAGAGAGACAGCCTTAAAGTGGAATACAAATGAGACATAGCTACTCAGAAAGAACGCTTACCACATTTTTGTCACCAAAAGGATAATACACTATAAATGAGATATCATATGTCTCCCAGATTAGCAAAGATGAAAACATCTGATAGTACCAAAAGATATAGGGGAAAAGGCCTCCCCATACATTCACCTACTCCACCAATGGGAATATAAAACAGATACATCGATTGACTGGGAAGGAGGTAGTAATTTGTCAATGTATACAAAACATGTAGAATCTATAACCTATAACTACCACTGACTTCTTGGTACCCAACTTACACAAACACTTATCAACTAGCCAAGAAGACATATGCAAGGGTATGTGGTGAAGTACTGGTTATGTTTTGGGTTTTTTTGTTTGTTTGTTTTGTTTTTTTGCTTTTTGAGTCACATCTGGCGATGCACTCCTGGTTCTACACTCAGGAATCACCCCTGGCAGTGCTCAGGGGACCATATGGGATGCTGAGAATCGAACCTGGGTTAGCCACGTGCAAGGCAAACGCCCTACCCGCTGTGCTATTGCTCCAGCCGCTAGTTATGTTTTTTTTAATGGAAACTAATTTTTAGCACTAAAAGGGTATATTTACATAGAAAGATCTCCAAGAAAATTAACAAGATATAAGATGACACATAATACCCCTTAGCAGCATCTTTTCTTTATATTCACCCATAAATTTATAAAGCACAGAAAAATACTGACAATGGTGTCTACCTCTAAGTATAGATAAAGGAGACTAGAGTTAAAGGTACTGATATAGAGGAATTTAAGCCTTATCTATTATAGCTTTTGCTTTTCCTACTTTATTGTTTAATAAGTACTAAATTTTATACATAATATAATTTTTAAATGGCCCTCAGGGAAAGTTTTTCTTCCCTTAAATAACCAATGTCTCTGTGTGCTTTAATATTTTACAATGAAGGCTGGAGAGACAGTACAGGGGTTAAGGCACTTGCCTTGCATGCAGCCAATCTTGGTAAGATCCCCAGAATTAAATGGTCCCCTGTATACTTCTGAGTAAGATCCCTCACCAGCACAAGCCTGGTCTTGCCCCCAAGCACCAACAAGTATGACCCAAAAACTCCTCCCTAAACTCCTCTGCACTCAGGAATCATTCCTGGCAGATCTCAGGGGACAATCTGGGATGTCATGGATAGAACCTGGGTCTGCCATACACAGGCAAATGACCTACCCATTGTACTATCATTCGGGACCCCAAAGCAAGTATTTTTTTTAATAATTCATTTATTTATTGAATCACTGTGGGAAAAGTTACAAAGCTTTCAGGTTTAGGTCTCAGTCATGCAAATATCAAACACCTTTCCCTTTACCAATACTTATTTTTCACCACGAAGAACCCCAATAAACCCCCCCTCCCAACCCTCCCAATGCCTGTGAGGCAGATGAATTCTAGTTAACACTCTATCTTCTTTGATTAGATTCATTGTTTCAATAAAAGATGCACCACTATTATTTAGAGATTTAGAGTTTACCCCCCACCCCCAAATCAGACATGCTGAAAAAGCATTGTGAAGTGATTCGCTTTCTACAGCTGGGTTCAAGAATTAAATGTTGGTTTTGGATTTCCGCTATTTTACTAATTAACCCTGGAAGTATTTCTACTGAGAGTCAGATAATTAAGAGATTGGTTTCTGTGTTCTGGAGTCGTGGCCGTGCTAGAGAGCCGCTTGTGGGGGGCAACTGGTGGCCTCGGTAGGGCATGAAGGACGGACCGGAACGCCCCCCTTCCCATGAGGTTTTAGTCGCCCCCACACCCCCGGCTCATACCCGCTCTCCACAAGGCTCCCATGCGGCCGCCATCTTTCTTTCCAGAGGGAGGAGGGCGGAAGGGAGCAACACCCTTTCCCCTCTGGGCAGACATGATGGCCTGGATTAACGCATAGTCCGTTCACTTTTCTCAAAGCAAGTATTTTTAAATTAACAAAAGGTAATTATATTTTTCAACTTGTCTGTAGACAGTATTTATTTCTCCTACATCTGAAAACTGCTCCCTGAAAGCAATAATGCAGGAACAAATGAAGTGAAATACCAAGAAGTCATCCAGTGAAGCAAAAAGCTCAAAATTGAAGCTCAAAAACCTCAATTACCACAGGGCTGGAGGCCTGATCCAAATCATAAATCCTCAATCCTTGCTCAAGGCTATCTTCAAAGAAACTAATGCCCCCTACCAGCAACTTACCAGGTTTTTGACCTGATGCTGGGTACTGGCCTTGAAGGCCACCGTTGGTAGCTCATTTTGAAGGTATTCTAGCCACTTCTCCACAACTTCCTTGGGGACCAGATCTGATAAAAATAGGAATAGATAGGGCTGGTAAGCAGAACATCACCTGAGGGTTTATTCCAAAGACAAACCCAACCCTATTCAACTCTACCACTGACAATAAATATCTCCCTGGCCATGCCAGTTCCTAACAGTAACCAAGTTCCACCGTCCACTGTCCACTTTCCTCCCGTTGTTCATCGATTTGCTCGAGCAGGTCCAGTAATGTCTCCATTGGAGACTGCTGTTACTGTGTTTTGGCATATCGAATACATCATGAGTAGCTTGCCAGGTTCTGCTGTGCGGGCAAGATACTCTCGGTAGCTTGTTGGGCTCTCCAAGAGGGGCGGAGGAATTGAACTCCAGTCGGCCATGTTGGCTGCGTGCAAGGCAAACGCCCTACCACTGTGCTATCGCTCCAGAGTTTAAAATACCAGCCTAGTCTAGGAACCAGTAGGCCCCTTGGAGAGAAACGGCAAACTGACTATTGGGTCCCAGATGACTTCCTTCCAAGTTACAATGGCCAGAAGCCTCCCTCGGTCCATGTTTCCCATCTCCTCTCTGGACAATTCTAGGGTAGGTCAAATATCAAGAATTACCCTGAGAAGAATGGTCACCATTTATAAAGTATTGATCATGTGCTAAGCATTTAACCATTATTTCTCACAACTTGTGAGGCTAGGATAATCAGATCATTTTACAACTAGAGTAGAGGTGGCATAAGAAAATAGTACAAGGTTCCAGAGAAAAGACAGTACCAGAAAGAGGCATAGAACAGAGTTACTCCTAAATCTTTGGGCTTTTTCACCTTCATCATTGGAGTCTAGCTTGGGGGAAACAGGAACTCCATAATATTTATCAGTTATAGATATAGGTAAAAATGGAAGAACAGGGTACTAAAAAGCAAACAGGTTAAATTCTATTTCCAATTTTGGCAACACTATGTTGGGTGTATGGGTGCCCCCACCTGAGCTCATATGCACATGTATGTTTAGACAAGTGACTTCACCTCTTGGATTCTTGATTTTGGAATCTAAATCAAGAATTCCTATCTTTCACAACTTTTACATATACTATTGAATTGCTAAGTCTCAGTGCTTGATCCAAGATAGCATTTCAAGGCATAAACCCTTCTCTGCCTTATTCAATACTGCCCAATACCTACCAATCTTGTTCAAGACTAGGACCAGTTTTTTGTTGCCTTCTGCCTGCAAGACAGCTTCCTCCATTTGAAAACACCGGCAACCCAAGGGGTCTCTGGCATCCAGGACTTCCAGAATCACATCAGAGTATGTCACCACCTACAGAGGTAGGGCCGGAGGTGAAGACAGGAAAAGAATTAGATAGCAACACAGTGGCCAATTTTCCAAACTCAATTAAGGAAAATTGAAAATAAATAAAACATGAGACTAGATTGGTGCCTTCCCAAAGGATCTTAAGAAGTGGATTCCCCCTTATACATAACCTTTCAGAATCTATATTGCAAACCATAATGTCCAAAATAAGAGGAGGGGGGTGTGAGAGAGACAGAGAGACACAGAGAGAAGAAAAGTACCTGCCATACAGGCAGGCAGGGAGGCAGGGTGCAGGAAAGTAACTGGTACATTGGTGGTGGGAAATGTACACTGGTGAAGGGATGGGTGTTGGAACACTGTATGACTGAAACCCAATCATGAGCAACGCTGTATCTGTGTATCTCACAGTGATTCAATTAAAAACAATAAAGATATTTAAAACAATGCATTCCCCCAAAAGAAAGTTACAAAGAGGCTGGAAAGGGAGAGAGAGAAATGGATTTCCATACTTTACGGAACTCTTTGTAATATGCCTTCCTTGTGGCCTCATCATCCAGCTGAGGAAACATATTTAATTCCTGCATAACTTCCTCCTAAAAGAAAAAATGGTATAGGAGAGGTGAGACAGGGCTGTGGAAACAAGTGGTCAGTGGGGTCATATGAGTCCCAGTTCACTGAAAAGTAATTCTAACCTGTCAACAAAGCTGGGAATTGAAATATATATTGACCCATATGGAGCGTGCGTATAAGTGTGGGTTCAAGTAGCAGCTGGAAGACTGTAGTATACACATGTGTAAAAGAAGAATGTGAGAGAGAGGTATAAGTGAGAAAAAAAGTTTATGTAGGAATAAAAAATGAGGGAAACAAAATATTTATACTACATTAGAAAAGGGACTCTTCTTAGAGCTACATGGTATTCCATTGTGTATATATACCACAACTTCTTGATCCATGAATGACCTCTCCCATATGTGGGACTTAAAGATATATAGCAAGGTAGCAACAAAGGCCCAAAGGCAAGATAATGGGAAAAGTGATCTACACAACTGAGTTGGAGGGAAGCATATTAAGAGTAGAGTTATTGAGGTCCCTGGGGGAGGCATGTGGGTGCACTGATAATAGGTATGGTATTGGAATTATGCGCTTATGAAATCATTATTAAATAGTCTTATAAACCACAGAATCTCAACTAATAAAGACAATTTTAAAGAAAAAGATGAATAAATTTGGAAGTACATGTTTTTTATAATTAGACTATATGCCAGAAAAACAGAAGCCCTAAAAGGAAGATGATATCAACCATCCTCATATATACTGTGCTCTCAATTCTCTCCTAATAATCACTCTCTCCCTGTCTTCTAGTTCTATATCTCCAATTCCCACACCCAATCCCTAGTCACTGTGATGCCATATAAGAGACAGTACCTTCAATATGGAAAGTATCATGCTAAGCGAAATGAGTCAGAAAGAGAGGGATAGACATAGAAAGATTGCATTCATCTGGGGGATATAAAGTAACAAAGTATGAGATTAATACCCAAGAATAGCTGAGATCAGCACCAGGAGGATTACTCCATAACTTAGAGGCCAGCCGGGTATCCTAGAGGAAAGGGCAGTTCAGATAGAGAAGGGAGCACCAAATAAAGGATGTTTGGAGGATCCTCCCATGAGGGGAGATGCATGTCGAAAGTAGACTATAGACTGAACATGTTTGCCACTCAATGCCTCTTTTGCAGACCACAACACCCAAAAGGAGAGAGAGAACACAGGGGATTGTCCTGCCACAGAGACAGGGGGGATGGGGGGATGGGGGTGGGAGGGATATTATCCATGGTGGTGGAAAATGGGCACTGGTGGAGGGATGGGTATCTGATCATTGTATAATTGAAACCAAAGCACAAAAAATTGTAAATCTACAACTGTAAAAAAAAATAAAATAAAATAAAGGAAAAAAAAATAAAAGCAGAGATCTCAAAAAAAAAAGAGACAGTACCTTTACAGGATTGTATAAATAGTACATTGTATATTGTATTATCAATATTATCAATATTGTATATTGATCGGTAGTCACCTATCTGTGACTACAGATAGGTCTCAGAATAGTGCTACACCTCCCTGTCATCCTCCCTCTGTCTACAGTGCTTCCCACCTTCTCTTTACTGGTTTCCCACTTCCCCTCAAACAATCTAGCATCCTTCTTATTTCCTTCTCATAGAACAATGGTAAAATATGTATTTGGCCAAATACACTATTTTACTTACCTTGCGCTCAAACTCCTCCTGGCGTCTCATGACATCCTGGCAGTAACTCTCAATGGTCCTGCGTCGGTATTTCTCTTGTTCCCGGGCGGCCCGCTGCTTTACCCTCATCTCTTCAACCTGACAGGGGAACAGAGACTCTAATACAGGTAATTATGTCTACAGCCTGAGGGATGTATCTCTTCAACCTGACAAGTGAACAGAGACTGTGATATAGGTATCTAAGCCTGCATCCTGAGGGATGCATCGGAGATCAACTGTAACAGAGAGCAGGGAGGAGACAAGAAAAAGAAAAAAGCGTAAAACAAGGATACAGAGAGTGAATATGATAGCAGCAGATTAAGGATACAGAGAATGAACAGAGATTAAGAATACAAAGAGTGAATATAACAAACAACAGAAGGGCAAGGATACAGAGGGTGAATATGACAGCAGCAGATTAAGGAGTCTGAGAGGAAAAATGGAGAGATATGAATAGCAGACAACAATAAAATGTGGAGCTGAGAGAGATGTTTTAAGCAGAGGAAACCACGGTTTTAGTACGAGCCATCAATTAAAAGGGAAAAAACAGCCGAAGACTGTAAGAGAGCCAGGAGAGATAAAAGAAAGACAGAGCCTTAATGAAAGCGTAGTCTCAAATGTTGAGAATTTGAATAAGATGAGGGAAGTACTATTCATGTATGTGATATCCAAGAATATGCTAATGAGGCAGGAAGAGGTTGCTGGAGGAGCAGTGGGAACATAAGTTAAACATCAATGAACTGGAAGGTGAGAGAGAAGGTGAGCAAAGAAAAACACAAACAAACTATCCAAAGTAAGTACCCTCTCCCCGTTCCACAAACAGTCTCAGCAAACCTCAATGCTATCTCTTCAATACTTCTGCAGAATTGGCAGTCCAGCAAGGCATGCTCCCCTCTCCCAGGGCAATAGGCTTACCCTCTTCTTCTTAAGTTCAGCCTCCCGACTGGCATGATCATTGGAATGAACAAACTGGGGAGCAGAGGTCACTTTGGAGGCAGCTTTCTTCCCATTCTGCACTGAAGGCTAGTCAGCATAAGGGTGAAAAATCAGACAGCTAATGAACCTATGGAAATCAGCTTTCCCAAAGAGTTAAAGCTGCACAACATATTTGTAGACAGAAAGAGAAAGAGAAATGACAAAGAGAAGGGCTCTCTATCCCTCCAGAAAGCAATTCTCCTTCTCCAAATCAGGTTGGACTAAAGAACCCCAGGAAAAGAGAAGGGGGAGGATAGAGAATGTTTCTCAAGTAAAGGCCAAGGGAAAAACTTTCTACACAAGCAGCTCTCCATGTCTGGTCCCTGAATCATCAGCAGCAGCAGCATCACCTGAAAACTTGTTACAAATATAAACTACCCAATGTCATAACAGACCTCTTAATTCAGAAACTCGGAGGTGAGGTTCACAATGTTATTTTTAACCAGTCCTCCAGGTAATTCTAAAGCTTGTGAACTGAGGCCAGATAGGTACAATAGTAGGTAAAACACTGGTCTTGAACAATAGCTGACCTGGATTTTATCCCTGGCATCCCAAATAGTCCCTGGAACCCTGCAAGAAGTGATCCCTGAGCTCAGAGCCAGGAGAAAATCCAAAGTATAGCTGGAAGTGGCAAAAAAAAAAAAAACTAAAATAAAATGTGTTCTAGTCCAAGTCTTACTTGCCCATACTTCACCTAGCAGGAAATCCAAAATGTTTCAGTCACTACCAAACAGATCTAGTCCCAGCTGGGCTACTTTAAATCTATGAATTTTTTTTATAAAAGTTCAGTTTCATCATCTAAAATATGGAGATGATGACTACCCCTGTCAAAGAAAATCAAGATCAGGACTAGAGCAATACATAATACAGCAATCAGAGCACATGTCTTGCATGTGGCCGATTGGGTACAATCCCTTGCATTATTTTTGGGCCCCTGAGCCCACCAGGAGCAACCCCTGACTGCAGAGCCAGGAGTAAGCCCTGAGCACCAAAGGGTGTGGCCAAAAAAAAGAACAAATAAAAATAAGAAAATCAAGCCCAAAGATGTTGTAAGTTTGCTGATTTTCTGCTGTAGGAACTCAGAAAGGGAGGAAATCCGCATCTGCTGATTTCAATGTGGTGCTCTATCTAGTCACTCAATACCTAGTGAATTTGCAGGCCTCTTATTAGGATAGGCCATCTGTTTCTGATCTTACTCCCAATAATCAGTACACCTTACCTGAAAATGGAGCCAACTTACCTTCTTGCAACCTTTGGAAACTTTAACTGGATTTTTATTTTCTACAAGAGAAAAAAAATGGCTTTATCCACCTACCCACCACTTTACTCACACCTTAATCAAGGTTAGGCCACACTGGGAGCCTAAGGAAAACCACAGTTCACCACATCTATATAGGCCCAGCAGACAGCAACAACAGTGTTAAAGGACAGATTGTATATAATTTGGGGCATTATTTCAACAATGAATCCCAAACAGTTCTTTTTTTTTTTTTGAATGAAGGCCTATTTATTTCTCCAAGCAAAGGAGAATACAAACACTTGAGTGTGAAAAATCAGGAGCATCTATGAAGACAATAAGGCAGGCTTCCAAACAGTTCTTATAGGAATCTTGTTGAAGCGAGTCACTTGACTGTGTGCTAGTGACTCGTTTCTTTGCCCCAGAATCTTGCTGACGGAAACTCAAGAATTCCGGTCTCAAGTCAAAGTAGGGAAGTTAGTAGCATGGGAAGGTGATCTGAGGTTTCCTAAACAACCAAGCCATAGTAGATACCCTCAACCTGTGTAAGGAAGATTAGCCCTTCCTGCAGACCTTGCCCAGGAATGAGATACAAAGGAACTTGACCTCTTCAGCTAAACTGCAGTCTCCCCTACATTTAACAAGAGAGATAACATTTTCCAACCAAGATTTCACAAAGTCAAGGGACTTAAAAGGCTTTTTACCCACTAAAAGTCCCAGCTGTCATGCCCTTTACAGCTGGCTTCTCAGAAATTAGATTGGCTTCCCTTAAATCTCACTTCCTGCAAGGGGACTGAAGGAATTCCTAGAGGGGGAGGGTCTGCAAAGTTAGGATATATACAAACAAATATAGAAGAGACCAAAATTACCAAGCAGAAAATAGTCTACACACTCACATTAAGTGAGTCACACCAAAGCAGAATTCATGTAGGTAACAGAGAATTTTTATTTTTTACTGATTCTGTGGTTTACAGTACTATTAATATTGATTTCTCATGCACAAAATTCCAATACAATATCCTTCGCCAGTGTACCCACTTCCCTCCCCTAGGGCCCCAATACTCTTCCTTCTCAACACCCCTCCTCCAACTCAGTTGTGTAGATCAGTTCTCCCGTTATGTTGTATTTGGACCTTTATTTGCTACCTTGCTGCATATCTTTAAGTACCGTATGTATCTCTGTACTTATCCCTTCCTATGACTGACTTCACTTAATGTGATATCCTTTAATTCCATCCATGTTGCTGCAAATTGCATAATTTTTTTCTTTCTTAGAGCTAAATTGTAACTTCTTAATCAGTTTTCATATCTTGGTTATTGCACTAAGCTGTGTAAAGAACACAGGTGTGCATATATCCCTTCAAATGAATGTTTTTGTGTTTTGGGGATAGATGCCAAGAAGTGGTGTTGCTGGGTTGTATGGTAGTTCTATTCTTTTTCTGATAGATCTATATCCATATAACTTTCCATAAAGCTGAACCAGACAACATTTCTGCCAACAGTGTATGAGGCTCGGTAACAAAGAACTTAAATATTAAAATATTACATATAAGTCTTAAGGAGATCAATAAGATTCAAGGAATTGTGAGGAAAACCCCCAAAAATTGATAATTAAATAAAAATTCAATAGGCGGGGGCTGGAGAGATAGTACAGTAGGTAGGGCACTTGCCTTGCATGTGGCTGACCTGGGTTCAATCCCTGGCATCCCATGTGGTTCCCTGAACACAAGAAGTAATACCAGAGTACAGAGCCATGAGTAACCCCTAAGCATCACAAGGTGTGGCCCCAAAACCAGAAAAAATTCAATAGGCATAGTGAGAAATGGAACAGGCATCATTAACCATCAAACGACCAAGGAATACCCTGCTTAAAACAATAAAAATGTAAAGAACTGGAAATAATGAATAGAAAAAGAAAGTGGACCCAGAAGACCCTTCCCCTCCTCTTTCTCTCTTCCTCCCTCCTCCCTTCCTCTCTCCCTTCCTTTCTTCATTATTTCTCTTTCTTTCGTCCGTCCTTAATCAATGTTTGGTGCCAGGGATTGAATTTAGGCCTCATACAAGAGTTGATACCCAAACAGAGTTACTGAAGAAAAAACAGTACAAGAAGACAATTATATTTTTATTCTTTGGGGAGGCTCCCAAGTAACAGTGTGGGGAGAAGGGGCTCCAAAGCAATAATCAAGGGGTCTGGAACCCATTCCCATAATACTCAGTGAACCGTGCCTAAAGTTCAGATGATAATCAGCATAATTTAGCAATACAGTTATTACTAATATTAAGTATGTACACTGCTTTTAAAGACAATGCTGTCTCGTATTTAACAGTGTCTTGTATTTAACTGTGTATTTGATGCTGCTCAAGCCCAGTGGTGCTAGAGGCCACCAGGGCTACAGCAGTCACGCTCAGGGGCCATGCAGTGCCAGGGACTGAACTCAGGGCCTCAGGCAAGCAAGGCATGTGTTCCAGTCCTATGAGCTATGTTCCCAGCTGATCCAGCAACTGTATTTTTGTATTTATTTTAATTTATTGTAGTTGAGGTAACATGGTTATAATAGTGTTAAAATTTATGCCTTTGGTACACAAATTTACTGCACCTCCCACACCAAAGCAGAGCAATTAATTTTTTAAAGCAAGTTTAAATTGAAAGCAAGCTTGGGTTTTCAAATTAGTAAAGCATTTCTAGCAAAGGTATTTCCAGCAAAGGCGAGAGAAGCAGTCAGATCTACAACTCTGGATTATCAAATCTACAACTCTGGACTCTCTTTTAAGAGAGAATAGCATAGCAGAGAGGGCATTTGCCTTGCACCCGGCCGACACAGCTAACCCGAGTTTGATTCTTCCGCCCTTCTTGGAGAGCCCGGCAAGCTACCGAGAGTATCTCCCCCACATGGCAAAGCCTGGAAAGCTACCTGTGGCATATTCGATATGCCACACGGTAACAAGTCTCACAATGTTACTGGGCCTGCTCAAGCAAATTGATGAACGGCAGGAGGACAGTTATAGTGACAGTATAAAACTCTGAGCCAAAAGATTTTGGTTTAACCCATCAAAATAAAGGGAGAAATGAACAGAAACTTCTGCAAAAAAGAAATAAAAATGGCCAAAATGCACATTAAAAACCAGCTCTACATCACTTGCATCAGGGAGATGCAATTCAAAACAGTAATGAGAAGAGAAACACGCTGCAGAGATGCCTCCAGACCCTGTTCCAGGCTTTGTCATCAGGGGCAACCCAGAGGGGGATTGGTGAATCTCTTCACCAGACCCAAAAGAGCCCCAGCAGCTGAAAACCTCCAGAACTAATCGTCACCATGCTCACAGCCAATCTATGCAGGCTTAGATGAGCCTCATCCATGAATCTGTTGAAAAACCCAGATATACGGGATTTGTGACGAAAATCTTCGATCACACGGAGTCAGGAATGGGCAAACTCCCCCCATTTCCTTGTTTTTCTGGTAGCCTGGCAGTCACACCCACAAACTTCCTCTGGCACCATATAAGCTCATTAATGGCCACCATCCAGAGACACAAAATTAAATGTCTTGGAAGAGAGCAACATGAGAACAACACACCACAGAGATGCTACCATACCCCAAAGTCAACACCCAGTTAAAAAAATTAACGTCAGTGTGTATCACCATATTTAAAATTTTATAATTCCGGGAGCATGCGGCCATGAACTCTACAACACTGATGTGCCAAGAGTAGCACACTACATTTGATGGGGTGTAAAGTAGAAGGCAACCAATCTCAGAAAAAAAATATATAAGCACTCAGGCTCAACCTTTAACATGTTACTAATCTCTTATACAGGGGCTTAATGGCTTCAGGGTGAAAAACAACAATCTTCACACACTTTCCTCACAGGAAACTTTTTTGGATCATTTTAGCAGATTATTCATAACAAACTATAAAATAAATTATTTTGGTCCTGCTTTGGGGGCAGGGTTTGGGGATTGTGATGAAACATCTGAAATATAGTGGTGGGAAAGTATAATGGTGGTGGGATTGGTGTTAGAATATTAAAAGTAATACATTATTGTGAAAAACTTTATAAAAATAAAATTTAAAAAAATGAGATATTATCGGATCCCACAGGGACTGACACTTATCAAAAAGAATAAGAACTGTCAGTGCTGGTGCAGGTGCACAGAGAAGGGGACGCTCATTCATTGTTGATGGAAATGTAGATTGGTCTAGCCTTTTTGGAAAACAATATGGGCATTCCTCAAAACTAGAAACTGAACTTCCATACAACCCAGTAATACCACTCCCAGGAATGTACCCTAGGGGCCCAAAAACACAACACAGAAAAGCCATCTGTACTTCTATGTTCATTGCAGCACTACTCACAATAGCCAGAATCTTGAAACAACCCAAATGCCTGAGAAGAGATGACTGGTTAAAGACACTATGGTACATACACACAATGGAATACTACCCAGCCACCAGGGGAAAAAAATGAAGTCAGGAAATGCAGTTATAAATGGATAGACATGGAGAGTATCATGCTGAGTGAAATCAGTAAGAAGGAGAGGTAAAGACATAGACTGATGGCACTCATTTGTGGGATATAAAAATACATTGTATGATGGGTAAAGGGACTTGTGAAAGAACATTGTATGACTGAAACCCAATCATGAACAACATTGTAACTGTGTATTTCATGGTGATTCAATACTTTTTGTAAAAACACTGTATTCCATGCATAAAATGATAACTGAACTATAGGTCACTCTCACATAAATTTAAAACAAGCATTTTCTTTTTAATGTTTTTTAAAGAACCATGATTTACAAAGTTACTGATAGTTGAATTTTAGGCATATGATGTTCCAGTACCAATCCCTTCACATGTTAACCAGTGTTCTCATCTTCCTTCCTGCACCCTCCCCCACAGACTGCCACCTTGATAGGCACATTATAAAGTTTGGTGGTTGTAGTTTGGATTTCATATTTTCAGTGTTGTTGATTCTGTGGTTTGGATATACTGCTCCGTCACTCCACCACATTATCAACATACTTTAACAGGTTCAGCCCTAT